TTTTTTTTTTTTTTTTTTTTCTTTTGAAAGAGGAAGCGTCGCTGTGTCAAATGTCGAAATCCATAAAAAGGAACAAGTGAAATTGTAGAAATCATAATTTTTTTTAATATGTTTCATTCGGTTTTGAGATGTTAATTCGAAAACGGTTTCATTATTTATAACTGAATATAAATATTATACAAATTAACACTAGATGTATCACCATTTTCAATATACCTACTTCTACCACACTAGTCAAAATGACTGATCTAATTTATCTAGTGTTAACTAAAATTAATCTAATGAACATTTGATCAAAATGAATCGTATAAAGTTTTGTTATTTTCAACGATGAGACTTTTAAAACATTTCAACCCCACTTAGAGATCATTTATTTTTTGTTTTGTTATTTTATTCGTTATTTTTCCGAAACAAAAAAAAAAAAATTAGAAAATGGTTCCATTGGTGATGCAATAATTAATAACAAAAATTTACAGTTATTTAACATTTTGACAATTATTTGACAAATTTCATATTGAAATAGAATTAAAGTAAAAATATTTTATCGCAAATCATTTTTGTGATATTAATTGGTTGTATGAGGAAAGAAAAAAAAAATAAATAAATAAATGTATCCTCCTATAAAGGACTAGAATGAAATAAGAAGAAGAAAAATGAAAAGCAAAAAAAAAAAAAGGGAAACCTTTTTCGTAATAGGAGAATATGGTCTCACGTTCTTATTTCGGTGACGTAAAAACGCCCACATGTTTTTCTTTTCCTTGGTCATCGTCCAAATAAAAATGTTCAAACCACGTGCACGTTCGTCATTACGTTGCAAAAAAAACAAAAAAAAAAAAAAGTAAAAAATCAATTTCATTTCGTATTATGCAAAACGTTAATACGTTAGTTTAACATTATCATAATTATATCTTTTATCTAAATTTGAATATTAATTTACAGACCATTTAATTTCACTTATAAATTTCGTATTTACGTCTCACAGTCAAAACGTCGTCTGGTATTTGTGTTTGATTTTTTTTTTTTTTTTTATTTTTTTTCTAACCAAACAAAATAATTTCTTTCATCGTATAAATTTGCACTTTGTATCAAACGACACCAACCACCACCCTATCTTTGATATCGTTTTATAATAGTAATTGTAATTAATTAATAACCGTCATTGAGTCAGAGTTTCTTTTATGAAAATTCATAAATAAATGTATACGAGGATATATTAAATCTTTTCTCGATTGAAGATTAAATTTATATCACATTATTTTTATCAATCACAATTTATTTTTGTTAAATGTTCAATTAATAAATATATATATATATATATATCGTTTTACAATAATTTTTAATTTAAGAAATGAATATATATATATATATATATATATATAATAATAAATAATAATTATATATTTAATATTATTTATATTATTTATTAATTAATTTTTTTCTTGTAATTTTTATTATTCTTTTTTTTTTTAATTTATTTATTTTTACGTTAATTGTTCGGGGATGAATTTTATCCTCAATTCAATAACAACATCCTGCAAGTTTTGATATATTCACCTTAATGATAGATTCTTGTTCTTGTTCTTGTTCTTTTTTTGTCATTTTATTTTTTTATCTGATAATAATATTCTAACAGTTGTTTTATATTTGTCAATCTTTAATTTGGATTTATTTTTACGTGTATTACTTTTATTTTGTTAGCCAATAGCATAGAGATAGATAACAATGTATATTAATAAATGGTCTTTAAATGAATAGAAAATGATAAAATAATAGTAATAATAATAGGAGATAGTGATAGAGAAATAAATCTTTTCTATTATCTCTATTGTCACAAGATTAAACCATGTTGATTGTTATTTGTCCCTGACACGTAGAATGAACCGGACGGAAATAAATATTTTGATCATCGGCCAGTCACTCGCATTCCGTTCAATTCTTAGCGAACACGCGACATTCTTAATTAAGACACTTCTTCTAAAGAATATTATTGGAAGTCAGGTGTAAATCTCCATTCTTTGAATCATCCAACATCAATTTTTCAACAATTCAAAGAAAGATATCTTTTCTTTTTCTGTTTTTTACTTTTATCTTCGAATATGATCTAATTTATTTGTTCTTTTTTTCATTTTCCTCTTCAATTTTTGTCTTCTAATTTTTTTCTACTTTCTTTTGAATCATCCAACACAAA